CTTTAGAACAGAGAACATGAAGAAAATGAGGGAGAGAGAGAGAGGGAAAAAAAGAAGAAGGAAAAACGATCAGATTAAAAGAAAGTAACAGAAACGATACTAGTGTGTCATCATTACTGATTCTTCTACTAAAACTAAGATTTTTATAATACAAAATTTAGGTAGATCAAATAAAGGAGATGACGTTTTTCCGTATTTATTTATTTATTGTGCAAATAATTTCTTTATTTGTATTTTAGAAGATAATGGCAACTTCGACTGACAATACAGAATTAGAACAACAAGTGTCAAGCTCACCAAGTCGATTACCTTATCATGTCTCATTTAATGATGATCAATTACCGGCATCACGACAAGGTTTGTTTACTAAAAGAGAAAAAAAAAGAAAGAAATGACTCAATTTATTGGTACCCTAAAGGATCATTTTTCGCATCACTGTTACAATACTTAAAAAAACTAAGTATTAATTACTCTTTTGCATGTACTTGTCTAATATAGAATGATCGAGACATGTCAGAATAAGTTATATATAATGTATTTGATTTTCTATCAAATGATTATGGATTAATTCCAATTATTTTCTTTTTGTTCTCGTTAGATTCATTATCATCTGCTGAAAAAAGTGGACGTTTTGTTGTTGTTAAATCATCAGATGTTCCTGATATTAATGAAAATGGTATGTTATATGCCGTGATAGACATCAAAAAAAGAATTTTATATTTATGTTTTTTTGTCTAGATACAATGGATAGTTCACATACAACAATAGAAAATGAAAAAATGCCATTACAAGCACAGTCTGATGTTTCCGTTAAATTTAATGAAAGTATTTTTGAAGTATGACAAAATAACTTTCTTTTGACAAAGAGCATGATTTGTATGACCTTTTTTTTTATAGGAACATGACCATCGACCACGTACAGTACTTGATCAATTGTATAATTATAAAGGTGGCATTGTACCTAATGCAGCTGAACGTGAGAAGCCATCAACAGCTCAACAAGTTTGTTACTACAGAATAAAATGATGACATTTTCATTTTTTGTATATGTTTAATAGCAATCAGCAAATCTTGGTACAATTTTTGGTGTTTATCTTCCTTGTGTTCAAAATATATTCGGTAAAATATTCTTATCTTATTAATAGAAGATATATATATATCTTCTGGAATTGTTTATTTAGGTGTTATCGTTTTTTATACGTCTTTTTTGGTTAATTGGTATTGCTGGTATATTCCAAACATTAATAATTGTCATTATTTGTAGTTCATGTGTATGAAAAAAGAAGATTTTTATTTAAAAATTTTTTTCATTTGATCTATTCTATTTATCTAGACTCTTTTAACAGCTATATCCATGGCAGCTATTGCAACAAATGGGATTGTACCAGCTGGTGGAGCGTATTTTATGATATCTCGTTCACTTGGTCCAGAATTTGGTGGAGCAGTTGGAATTCTATTTTATTTAGGTAATACATTCGCTGCATCAATGTATATTGTTGGAGCTGTTGAAATTGTAGTTGTATGTATATTTATAATAATTTCTTTTTTTTCTAATATATTAAATTATATAATCTTATCTTAAAAGAAATATATGTGTCCGGAAAAATGCCGTCTATTTGGTGATGATGTCGAAATACCATCTGTAGCTTTTAATCATTATCGTATATACGGCACTATATTACTATTAATTATTGGAGCTTGTGTTCTAATTGGTATTAAATTTGTAACTAAAATAGCACCATTATCATTATGTGCTGTACTTATCTCAATTTTGGCTATCTATGCGGGTGTTATTAAAAGTTCTTTTAGTCCACCTGATTTACGGTAAGGTTTCTTTTTATCGAAAAATTATAGAAGCACTAAAAAAACCTAACTCTTTATATTTATTACTATTAGATTGCTATGTCTAAGCAAGAAAAAATAACAGAATTGTTTACACTACAGATAATTGAATTAGTATTATTTAACAAAAAATATAAATGAATAATAACTATGCGAGAGCAAGAAAATATATATATATTAACATTCTGTATTTGCTAGAGTTAGGATTAAAAACACCCACATTTTTTTTTCATGCATGAACTACAACTTTAATAAAAAGGTTGATTATAAAATATGAATGAAAGAATTAAGACACGTAGAGAAAAAGAGATTATATTCACATTTTAACGATCGGTATAAAATATTAAAAATAAAAGGCGATTATATTGCATGAAAAAAAAACTCGGATTTAAAATGCTTGCAGACATATATATTCATTTATGTAATCGCTTTCTTTATTATTTATAATAGATTCAAGAAAAGAATAAAATCTATGAATATAGCTGTTTCAAATTATATTAATTAAAGAGAATTATATAAAAAAAGATCTAAAGGATTTAAGAAGGACTTTTCTTTTCTTTTCTACAGAAATAGAAATAGCTTAGAAGTTTATTAAAATAGATAGTAGTGTTATACCGGATATATTGTACTATCACGAGACAATGCTTTTCTATATATAGATGATTACTATAGAACATCAATCAAATATAATAAACACTATAAAAATAATGCATGTATACTTCCATCATGTTCTCTAGTAATTTCCGTTTTGTGATATACTTAAAGCTAAAAACTTTTTATATTTAAGTAACTCTTGATTTTTTATATTGTGAAATAAATAATTGTTCGGGTTTTTTTCTTAATAGTATTTGCCTGGTTGGATCTAATCCGTCACATTTAATTAAGTCAAATGTACTGCATAATGATATTGAACGTTATTGTCGTCCAGATAAATGGTGTTCAAGAGATAATGAAACAATATTATGTCCACTTTATGTCGCAATATGCAATAAATCAACTAATACATTATGTTCTCCAAATGGTTATATTGAAAATGTTCGAGCTGTACCAGCTGTACCAGGTCTTAAAAATTGGCAATTATCAGGTGAATTTCATTTTGAAAAAAAAAAACATCCGAATATTTATACTATTAATTTTAATTAGAGAATCTTTTTTCACATTATCGACAAGAAGGTGAAGTTGAACGTGATGTAAAAGGTGATGCATCCTATGAAGTTGTAGCACAAGAGATAACAACATTTCTAATTCTTGTTGGTATTTATTTTCCATCAGTTACTGGTAAAAGAAAAATATTTTTCGAAAGATTAAAAAATTCATAATGATATATTTTCTTTTGTTAGGTATTATGGCTGGTTCAAATCGTAGTGGAGATTTACGTGATCCAAGTCGAAGTATTCCACGTGGGACTATTGCTGCTATTATAACAACATCAATTATTTGTATGAAATATTTATTTCTACATTATAAATATTAAATTCTTTATTTAAATAGATTTATCCAATGTTATATTTTTGGCTGCATGTGTACATAGTTCATTATTAAGAGATAAATTTGGTGATAGTGTTAATAAACAATTAATTGTGGCGATTTTAGCATGGCCAAATAAATGGGTTATTATGATAGGTGCATTCTGTTCGACTGTTGGAGCCGGTTTACAAACACTAACAGGTAGAGATCAATAAAGAATATATTCTCTTAACTTTAATTAATTGAATCATTTAAGGTGCACCACGTCTATTACAAGCAGTAGCAAAAGATAATTTAATACCAATTCTTAGTCCATTAGCAAAATCTTATCGAGGCGAACCTGTACCAGCTCTTTTCTTAACATTATTGATATGTGAATGTGGTATTCTTATCGCTGATGTTGATAAACTTACAGCACTTCTCTCAATGTAAACAAAAAAATGAAAATATTATATATTACCTATCTTTTTTTTTTAATTTAGGTTCTTTCTTTTATGTTATGGATTCGTTAATTTAGCTTGCGCTTTACAAACTATTTTAAAAGCACCTAGTTGGCGACCCCGCTTTCGTTTTTATCATTGGTAAAAAAAACGTAATAATAAATCTATTTTAAAATAAAAATCTAATTTTAGGTTTTTATCATTTATGGGCGTTTGTCTTTGTATTTCAATTATGTTTATTGCTTCATGGTATTTTGCGCTTGTAGCAATGTTAATTGCCATAGTTATATATAAATTTATTGAATACAAAGGGTAAAAATAAAATAATATAGATTTTTTTGAAAAAACTTTATATTAATTGTTAATAGAGCAGAGAAAGAATGGGGAGATGGCATACGTGGTTTATCAATGTCAGCAGCTCGTTATGCATTATTTCGTGTTGATGAATCTCAACCACATACAAAAAATTGGCGTCCACAATTATTAGCATTTTTTAATGCACAACGAAATGAAGAAGATGAAGTATTTACTTTACGTCATCCAAAACTACTTAATTTTCTTTATCAACTTAAAGCTGGTAAATGATTAAAGAGAAGAATTTATATCCTGATATTATAATTATGTATTTTTAGGACAAGGTTTTGTTGTGGCTGCAAGTATTCTTGAAGGAGATTATCTTGAAAAACATCAATATATTGAACCAGTTCGTTCAGTAAGTGTCTTTTCACATATTTTTACTATACATAGAGTTTCTATAAGGCTTCTATGAATTCTTTGATCTTTGACAGATTTCATGAAACCTCAAAACTAAAACTATGTTAGTTTTCATCGCAAGTACATACAGAGTTCATCGGATAGAATTCGAGATATTTTTTTGTTGATTAAATTCAAAAATAACGAACTTGACAGACTTCCGAAGAAATTTTTAGTAATGAAGTCTTTGAGCTGTAACTCTTAATATAGACTGAAATGTCTGGAAGCTTTATGAAGACTATTATTTACCCCTTTGGCAAACTTCAATTATGAGTTGATGTTAAATATAACTGGATTATTATATAGTTACTATTAGTATTGTCTAAGGAATATGTAGAGAATAATAAACATCAGTGTAAATAAGTACGAGAAATTGTTTTTGATACAACAACAGTAACTATCAAATCTAGATAGAAAACAATTTTATTAAAAATATTAGAAATGCAATTCACGTGCGGAATTAAATTTAAAAATAAAACTTAATCAAACAAATCAAATTGAGAGAACTTCATTAGACGAGTACTACATGAAAGACCTTCAGTAAATTGAATCTGGAAATTATGAACCCTCGAGGCTCTTTTGGTACACATACATCAGTTTATTATGAGATTTTTTTGCGATGTTTATAAATAATAAGAAAACTATCTTTAGATAAAACAAACCTTGTTCCAACTGTGAAAATAATTGTTATATATATATTTAGGTACTGAAAGCTGGTTTAGCTCAAGCTAAAGTTCAAGGTTTTGCTGAAGTTCTTGCAGCTAAAGATGCTGAAGATGGAATTAGTGCATTGTATGTACATAAATCTGTATATATATATACTTCATTATTTGGTTTGTTGTTTAATTTAGAATTCAAACTGAAGGTTTGGGTGGTTTAAGACCTAATACAATCATTCTTTGTTGGCCAATACATTGGAAAAAAGATTATGATAGTTATACAGCTGATGCATTCATTCGTAAATATTATTGAATTCTATACAATTATAATCTTATTTTCTTCTAGGAACAATTGCTATCGCTGAAGCACGTCAATGTGCTGTAATTGTACCGAAAAATATCGATAATTTTCCAGAACATAAACAAATTCAAGAAGGTACTATTGATATATGGTGGATTATACATGATGGTGGTCTTCTATTTCTTATTGCATTTCTATTAAAACGTAATAAAGTATGGGCACGTTGTCGTATACGTTTATTTACTGTTGCACAACTCGAAGATAATTCCGTTGAAATGAAAAAAGATCTCGAACAATATATGTATCAATTACGTATTGAAGCTGAAGTTAATGTTGTTGAAATGGTTTGTTTTTTGGATAATTTTTTTTGTCAAATGAGAAATTTTTTCTTTATAGGAAGATCAAGAAATCTCGGCATATGCTTATGAAAGAACATTGAAACTAGCTGAACGTGTTAAACTTTTAAAAGATCTTAAATTACCCGATAAAGAATTACAACTTCAAGTAAGCCATTTAAATATTACACTTTATTTTTTCTAATTATCATTGAATAAAGGCAAAAGGTTTTGAACGACGTGCAAGCAAGGTGATTATTATCGTATTGATTTGTATTGTAGTGTTTGAACTTTGATTTGATGAATGATCTTCTCCTTTCCTTTCTCTTTCTCTCTCTACACATGCATGTCTACTAATAATAATTTGTTATCGAAAGATTATTTTAAATAATATGTTAATATGTATATATTTTTAGCCTCAAATATTTATGGATTCAATAATAAATAATCAACAACGTCAACAAAGTTTTGATGAATCTAATGATCAATATCAATATACATTTACACCAAATCAACTTGAAACTTTAAAAAAATCTGTGTAAGAAATTAATAAATTTCTTTAGATTATTTCTTTTGTTTTTTTAAATAGAACTGAATCATCAATGCGTAAAATGCATTCAGCTGTTCGACTTAATCAACAGATTCGTGAACGTTCTCGTGATGCAAAACTTGTTCTCATTAATTTACCATCACCACCATCAAAACATACAAGTCTAGCTGCTTATTCATATATGGAATATGTTGATGCATTAACAGAAGGTTTAGATAGATTATTATTAATGCGTGGTAGTGGACGTGAAGTAATAACAATTTTTTCTTAAATTTAAATATTTTTGTTTTTCTTAAAAATTTTAATCCGTGGTGTATTGCGTCTAAATCGGTTAAAATATGATATTAGGTATTTTTTTTATAATCTCGTAGTAATTGAAAAATCCTGTTTCGTGTAATGTATTCAATTTATACTTTTCGTTCTTTCCTTTTCTTTTCTTGGAGTCATTTTTTTTTCAGTCAGTATTAAATATGTGTAGAATTTTTATTTTATGGACATTGTAACCTTTACACTTAGAAATTTTCAATTTATGTAATAGCAATCTTATCAAAAAGCAATGACTTTCTTTTTTCTTCTGTTTGTTGACAAATTCCAAATAAATATGTTGATGTATTTCAATAAAACTATTTTTTGTGTGTTAAATCGAAAATCTATTCTGTTTTTCGTAGAGAAGAGTTTTGCAAACATAAATTGTCCGCACTTCACTGACTGAGGTAAAGATATAAAAGGTATTTTTTTTTAAGAGTTGATCGAGGGGTAATCGGAGTCGAAGAATTCAAATCTGACTTCTGTTTTGTTTAATTATATAAATCAATAGCTTGGTAGTTGTTCTCTTTGTCGTAGAGAAGAGTCCAGTAAGCATAAATTGTCTGATTGCTTGTCTGTTCGCAGGGTCAAAAAAACATCGCACATCAATTTTCTGGAAAAGATATTTCTAGAAGTATTTCGATGCGAGGAGTTCGAATCTGGGGTTTGTTGGGTGACTATGATGAGGAGGGGGAGGTCAGGATGGAGCAAAGGTCAAAAAAAAATCGAAAACCTAGTTTTCACGGCTTTCAATTGTTTTTTCAGTAAATGTGAGGAGGATGCATCTTTACGAGAAAGAGCTGAGCGAGTCCTTAAACGAGCATCACTTGTTATATAGATGATTTTAAAAATTTACATATAAATTTAACTTCTAAATTAAGCATGACAATTTTTCTTTAGTACACGGAGACTAGCTCAGCTCTTTCTCATAAAAATGGCGTGTCTTCGGTCAAGTTAAGTGTGCTTCAAGTTTGGAGTTTACGGATATCTAAATATTCGCGAAAAACTCTCCCAGAAAACTGTAACCATCTGTTTTTGATTGCTCTAATAGATACTGTGGACTGTATTGAGTCGACTGGTGATATTTAAGGGAAAAAAGCGCATAGTTACGAACTACAATTTGTCGAAAAACTTGAAACTCGTAAATTATTTATTCAAAAACCTTATGTTAGTATCGAACTCCTCACTCTCGATTATCTTTGGTCAGGTTCTGTGGAAAATAATACTTCTCTATTTGAGATTATTTTTGGACCAATTAGTGAAGTACGGATACACAAGCAAACAATTTATTCTTATTGAACTCATTTGCACGAGAAAGAGAAAAGTTTATACAGTAAAGTCAAAATACTATTATTCGATTTAATTATAGAAAAGATAAAATTTTTATTTGATTTACATGTTTTCCCAGTTTTTATCCTGATAAAATATAGACAGTTGTTTTCATCATATACACTAATCAAATATTATATATCACTTACAATATCATAAAACTATTTATTTATCGCCTAGTTTTATCTTTAAAATACTAGTAACAAATAATATTTTACATAGAAGAAAACAAACTGTTATATGCTTTTATATTACTTAATTGTTGT